CCCTCCTTCCACCTTTTCTTCCTTCCTCCCTCCCTCCTTCCACCTTTCCTTCCTCTCTCCCTCCTTCCACCTTTCCTTCCATCCTCCCTCCCTTCCACCTTTCCTTCCTCTCTCCCTCCCTTCCACCTTTCCTTCCTTCTTTCCTCCCCACTTCCACCTTTTTTCTTTCCTCCTTCCTCCCACCCTCCCTCTCTACTTTCTTTCCTCTCTCCCTCCTTCCACCTTTCCTTCCGTCCTCCCTCCTTCCACCTTTCCTTCCATCCCTCCTTCCCTTCCACCTTTCCTTCCTCTCTCCCTCCTTCCACCTTTCCTTCCTTCTTCCCTCCCTCCTTCCGCCTTTTTTTCTTTCCTCCTTCCTCCCACCCTCCCTCCCTACTTTCTTTCCTCCTTCCCTCCCTCCACCTTTCCTTCCTTCCTCCCTCCCTCTACCCACCCTTCCATCTTCCCTCCTTCCTCCCTTACACCTTTCCTCTCTCCCTCCCTCCACCCTTCTTTCCTCCTTCCTTCCCTTTCTCTCTGACTTACTCCTTTTCCCTCCCTTCTTTCCTGTCTCTCTCTTTTCCTTCCTTCCTCCCTCCTCCCTCCCTCCTGCCCTCCCCCTCTCCTTCCACCTTTCCTTCCTCTCCTTCCACCCTCCTTTTTATCCTTCCTTCCTCCTCCCTTCCCTTCCTTTCTTTCCTTCTCTTCCTTCCTAGCTTCCTTGCTCTTTTTCCCTCCCTCTTTCCCTTTGTCTCTTTCTTTTCCTTCCTTCCCTCCCTCCCTCGCTTCCTTCCTTCCTGTCTTGCTCTCTTTACCTCCCTTCCTCACTAACTCTCTCCCTTTCTTTTCCTTCCTTCCTCTCTAGCTCTCCCTTCCCTTTTCTGTTCTCGTTTCCCATCCATCCCCCCCCCTTTTTTTAACATGTTGGTTTTTCAAATAGGAACCACGAGAGTTTTGCACATGGGAAAAGATGGCAGAGTGGAAATAGAAGCTGCTGCCTTACCCTGGCTTGGTGGCATGCTGCGATAAGCTGTGGTTTGTATACCCAGCATACTTGATGCCCTAGAATACACCAACTCCAGTGTAAACAACTGGTGTGAGTTGCAAACACAGCCACTGAAGCAACCTCTCCCCTTCAGTTATGACCCCAGGGGCATTTCCCACCCCATCCTGACCCCAGGGGCTGAACTCACTAGATAATACAAGGAACAATGGATGGAAAGGAGAGATTTCACCCAGAAATAAGGAGAAATTTCTTGGTAGTGAGGACAATTAACCAATGGAACAGCCTGCCACCAGAAGTTGTGGATGCTCCAACACTGGAGGTTTTTAAAGAAGAGGTTGGGCAGTCATTTGTCTGGAGCGGGATAGGGTCTCCTGCTTGAGAAGGGGGTTGGACTAGAAGACCTCCAAGGTCCCTTCCCACTCTGTTATTCTAAGAAAGGTGGGGAAACTAGAATACCTGTAGACGTGCTCTTCATCGCTGGCACGTGAAGGAGAGGCAGTACACTCCCTGGATACAGACGCACCGGAACTATACAAAGGAGACTGAGGCTGTGGCTGTAAAAAAAAAAAAAAAGAATTTTATTTAAATATGTTAGAATCGCCAGCTGTGTTAAGTCAACAACCTGGCAACATTTTGGGTTCAACTGTGGTTGTATGTATACCTAGGGGTATATTCTTCCCTCTTTCCACAATGTGCGCTTAACAACTTCCTCATTCCATTGCGCCTTCGGACACAACTTGGAGAGGAAGCGGCGAGGCGAAAGGACTTTCCGAGGGTGTGGCATTTGAGGTCTGTTTACCCCAGGCCGACAATTCACAAAAAAGGCAAAACTGGTAAACTTCCAGCTACGTAGGAATTACCTGTATCCTAAGGTCCTAAGTTTAGCTGGGGTGAAGGGGAGACACTGCCATCAGTAATATGAGCCAGCATCTCCTCGGCGAGCTATAATTAAGTTTTTTTCTTAATGCAAAAAACAGCCACGGAGGAGCCACTGAATTAACCACATTTAGTGTAATGATGTTGCAAAGGAGATGCTTTCCAAGAGGAGAGAGTGGTTTTAGACGGAAGGCAGAGGATATCCGTGCCAAATTTATCTGGCCTCCCCAGAAGGAAATTTACCTCATGGGGCACAATGCGGATTGAGTTATAAAATTTAAAAATGTCATATTACGTGCGAAGCAGTTTACAATTTCTCAGTCAAATACATTTCAGGCATGGGAATTTTGCTATGCAGGTAGGTTGTCCTCAGCTTATGACCATAATTGAGCCTGACGTTTTTTGTTGCTAAGCAAGGAAGCAAATTGCGCTCCATTTTACGGCCGTTTTTTTTGCCAACATTAAGCAAAGCATTAAAGCTGTTAGAACCCCATATTAAAACAACTTACCTTATGGGTGGCCAGAATTTGAAAACAACATTTAATATGGCACATAAGACTTGAGAGTAAAATGGTTCCATTGAGATCCGCATAGATGGGACAGATTGGGGTAGATTGTAAGAGGTCATATTGAAATATAATTTTATCTAATTTATCACCATCTTCTTCTTTTAACAAGAGGTCATATTGAAAAATAATTTTATCTAATTTATCACCATCTTCTTCTTTTAACAACCCCATAGCGCCTTGTGAGGTGGAGTCAGGACAACTGAATGGAGCTGAGTGTTTACTGGCCGGATGCCCTTCCTGTTGCCAGTGAGGAGTTTTGTTCGGCAGATATATTCTCATTGCCCCCAGAGAGAGAAATATCTGCCTCTACCTAGGATTGAACTCATAGCCTCCTGACTGTAAGGCGAGAGCTGCATTGCTAGGCCACCGCGCCACTCAATTTTATCTAATTTGTCTCTATAGTAAATTATTGCATTTTATCCCAATTTTGTTTTAAATTATATTTTATTCCAATTCCATTTTGACTTGTTTTTAATAGGATTTTAATAATGATTTTTGGAACTCTGTATTTTGATAGGGCCTAATCCATAAACTAAAGTTGTTAAAGGAATTATGCGGTCATTAAACAAATCTGGTCGTCCCCCCCCCTCCCAATTTTAAAAAAAGTATAAGAACAGCAATACAGCCTTACTAGACAGTTTGAGAGTGTTGTGGGAAGTAGTTGCTTTGGGTTGGAAGGAATGTAATTCTCAGGGTGTGGAAAGTTAAGATTTAGGAAATGAAATACCTGTTGGGGAACATTTCTCGGAAGGACGGGGTGCCATTGGTCTAAAGAGAGGCTGACAGTCCCATTCAAGGCCTCGGTGGAAGGCGGAGGTGGTACCGGCGGAGGGACAGCGACTTCTTGGTAGGTGTGGTTTCCAGTGGGATACGAATATGAGGTTTCCTCCGTCAGAAACACCGGCCGTTTGGAGATATGGGAGGTAGTGGATTCCAGATCAGCCAGCAAGGCATCTGCGCAAAAGCCACAAGAGAAGGAGAAGAGTTATTGGGTTGACGTCAGCAAAAGTTACCTTCGCTTGCTAAAAGCCTCCTCCCGAACTCCCGTGTTCCCAGTTCAAGCGTGCAATCAAGCCCCTGCTTTGCCCCACAATGAAAGCCTTCTTTATTGATAGATCTTGAGTAGATCCAAAGACCGAGCCCCAACACCCAAAAAGAAAAAAAAGAAAAGAAAAAGTGCTCAGCCCTCGCAACCCTGCTCAAGAGGAACTGGGAGAGGCAGAAACGAGTAAAGTCTGAAAGCAGCTAATTACTAGTTTTGGCACTGCAAACTCAAGTCAAAAGCGCAGCCACAAGCGATCCTCGGGGCAAAAGAGAGATCTCTGAATCAGCCAGAGATGGAAGAGAGATATCAGTATCAAAAGATGGTCTCTTCCCATCTGCTTCCCAGGTGCAGAGAGTTTAACCTGGGCTGCAGGTATAACTGCCATTCGGTTTCCTAAACGTGCTGGGTCAGATTGCAAATTCCTAAGGGGTTGGATTGGGTCTCTTCGAAAAGGCAGGAAGGCAAAGTGAAAGGTGGAAAAAGGAAAGGGCCTTGGATCTGTAATTTTCCACCCTTCTCTTCCATAAGATACTAAAACGGGCCAGAAGAAAGATTAGCCCGGTTTTGCCTTTGATAGAAAAAGCCAGACAAATATGGAATATCTGTGTGCTTGGTGGTTTGCTTGCAGGTGTTTTATTGTGCAACTAGGTAACATCATCAGTGCTGGAAGGGAGCAGGCGAGGAGGAGGAGGGAGAGGACTGTGGGGCTGAGGTTGGTGCTTTCTTAGCAGACCTTTTCTTACCCAACTAGGTAACATCATCAGTGCTAGACGGGAATGGGGTTTGTGGAGGGGAGAAGAAGAAGAAGGATTGGGAGGTCCTTGGTGCTCTCTGAGCTTGGTGGTTTGTTAGCAGACCTTTTATTACCCAACTAAGTAACATCATCAGTGCTAGACGGGAATGGGGTTAGTGGAGGAGGGTGTGGGGAGGAGGAGAAAGAGAAAGAGAAGAATGACAAGGATTGGGAGGTCCTTGGTGCTCTCTAAGCTTGGTGAGACATTTTATTACCCAACTAGCTAACATCATCAAGGGAGTGGAATAGGGAATTTGCCAGACATGGTTTTCCTAATGCAATCCACTGCAACCTGGGGTGCCCTCCAAATAACATACTCAGCCCTCTAGCACACCTGAGCTTCTTCAAGGCAATGAAAATTTTGGTGACGTTTGGTGATAAAAGAGTTTTGCATTAGAAAAGAGGCAAACGGAATATTCTTATTAAACCAGCTAAATTTTCACTTGGTACACAGCTCTAGGACCTTTTCCCCAATTGAAATGATGGTGTGAACCTGTCTATCGTGTTGAGAAATTAAAATAATTTTCATCGTGTTGGTTGCACTTGCAAATTGGAGCTGGAGAACTCCAAGCACTTTAGGCTGCATGGGATTGCCTCTCCACGCAAATTATTTCCATACAGGAAACTGCATGTCGCCAGCAAGTACATCCATGCACGTAACACACACACACACACACACACACACACACACACACACAGCTGCACATGGCCATTGGATCCCTTTGGATTGTTTTCCAACACCTTCCAGATGTTTCATTCCAAATGTGTTTTAATAATAATAATAATAATAATAATAATAATAATAATAATAATAATA